CGCAGGTAGGGGAGCAGGGAGCGTGTCCTTTTTTTTCTGTGCCCCTTTTTTTCTTGTGTCCCATTTCCTGTGTCCGTTTTGCTGTGTACGCACTGGGTGGTTTTAGTCACGTTGGACAACAAACCCCCTAACAAGCACCCCCATCAGGTATGTACATCTCTGCTGCCCCAAGGCAGCTTGGCTCATTCCCTGCGCCCCTAACACCGTCCCTTCTCTCTTCCAGGGACGGATGAAGTGGTGTATGGCCAGCTCGGGGGGAGCATCCTCCTGCTGTGCCGCAATGTCTCCGAGGACGCAGCCGAGGTGGTGTGGTTCCGAGGGGATCCACACTCCGTCCCCCCGCTGCTCTCCTCCAGGGTCTCCTTCCCACCCGACGTTCACTTCTCCCTGGTGGACAACAGCTCCCTGAAAATCTCGGAGCTGCGTCCGCAGGACGAGGGCAACTACACTTGCAGGGAGGTGCTGAACAAGACAGACCACGAGCACAGGGTCCAGCTCCTGATAGCCAGTAAGTTAGTCCCACACCTGAATTTCCTTTCCAGATTCTTCTGGAACTGGTAGAAAAAGAATATAAAACAAGGTCAAGGTGGCTCTGCCGTGTGAAATCTGTGAGCAGACTAATTTTGCTCCGTTACACATCCACTCAAAGCACCAAAATGTGTGTCCAAAGGGCCTGTCACGGATCAGATGTGTGTGATGCAGGGATGAAATGCCACCTGTGAAGTCCTCACTATGTCTTTTCAGCTCCTTCTTCATTGCTGGTGCTAAACAAGTTTTTGGGCAGATATTTCACTTTCCAGGGTGAACCTTTCCCTCAGAATCTTTCCAACTTGGTCCTTCATAAACCTTAGGATGGATGCTGCTGCTTGCTGTCTATTAGCCCTTGATTGGAATACGTGTTGGAAATAGGTGTGCTGGGCCATTCCTTGGTGCCATCCTTTTGGTGGGAGAGTGGAGGGTCCCCAGATGTTGAGTCTTAGAGCCTTCTGCTGTTGATGGAAACACCACATTCCTTAGGTTTACTGTTGGGAGCACTGTCCTGAGAGATGCTTGTTATCAGCACAGGCTGTTCCTTCAGCCCTGCTGTGTCTTTTGGTGCTCTCTCCAATGTCCATGTCCATTTCATTCATTCATTCTCTTAGAAATCTTCACAGCACAGGTGGAAGTTCACGCTGGAGAGTGCTCAAGTTGATTGGTTTTTTCACAGCGGGTGGAGATCCTTCCTGCTCTTGCCAGGGAACTATTATCTTGCCCAGATGCCTCATGTATTCCATGGGAACAGCCTCCTCCAGATTAGCAGGGAGTGCAGATCCTATGGCTAGTGCCACTCTTGGTCCCTTCAGGTTTGAGAGGGAAAATCTGCTGCTGCTTTTCCTGTTTCACTGACCCTCTGTGCTCCCTTGACCCTTTCCATCAACACCTTCTGTGTGTGTGACCTGTTTGGTGTTTGCCTTCAGGGTGTTCTTTCCTTCTCCATGTTTGTAAATGTTGTGCCTGCTTTGTACGGATTAAATCTCTGCAAGTTCACAGGAATAAAAATTGCCTTCCTGCAGCCAGGAATGTGTAGATTGGGTGTGGAGGGTCACACAGAGAGCTGGAGGGAAGGGATTGAACCCCAGGGAATAGATATGTAGGCACAGGGCTCAGGAGGGGGGAGCAACAAATCAGGATCACTGGGGCAAAACACTCAGGAAGGAAACATTTTCATGTCATGCCAAGTGGTGGTGCTGCACTCTGAGCTTAATTAATTAGCCTGGAATTAATGTGTCAACTAATTTCCAAATATGACAAAGATGATGGGAAACTCTGGTGTGCCCTTCAGTAGGTGAGAGAGATTTCTGGAGGTGCTGTAGGTCAGCAGGAGAAGCATCAGCAAAGGTCAGAAGCTGAACTAGTAGCTCTGATTTTTCACAGTCACTGTTACTGGATCAACTGAGCCTGGGCTGGAGTGAACGTTTTTGGACACTCTGTAAGAGCCTCCCAGGATCTGTAGAGGCTTTGTGTGGGAATTACCAGCTGACAGTCTTCAACCCATCTCATAGGTGGTACCAAAACGTTCTCATTTTGTTTAAAACTGCCCTTAAAAAGCCCCACAAGCAGTAGAACAAACATTCTAGGGACAGGACAAAGGTGCAGCTCTGCTTTGAGCTGTGGTTCTGTGTTTGTTTTGGATAGGAAGCACCTGGGGTGAAGGAGGTGTGCCACACCTCCCAGGGATTCCTTGGCACTTCTGTGTGGGATTTAATACAAACACTTTGGCTCTTCTGTGGGTCAGACCACAACAGGTCCTTTTTGTAGGCATTTTGTGAGGGGATTTTGGTTGGGGGACATTGGAGGCGTTTAGGTTTTTTGGTTTGTACTAACATTTTGGGAGAAGATCTCTGTTAGTGTTTAGACAGAAGAGTGGAGTTGTACTGGGAGGGCCTGGGAGCTCAGGAGGTAAAGCTGATGGCTTCAGGAGGCAGATTCCTGGGACCAGCATAGAAAGTGCAGGTCTGATTGGCCATCCTGGAAGGGCTGTGTCCATCTGGATGTCCTTGGAAGAACTGTGTCCACCTCGACATGGGTCAGTTTCTGGTGGTTCAGACTTCTCTATTAACCACAGCCAGGATTTGGGATCAGTTATGATCCTCCCCAGAGCTGGGACAGAGGAAGTCTTGGAGAGAACTTTTCTGCCAGAGCTGGGTGGTTTCAAAGATCACCCGAGATGTGTGTGTATAGTTCCTAGAGAGCCAAGCCCCAGGAAGGTATGTTCTTATAGCTCACACAAGGGTTTGCCATGCTGTTTGTTTCTAAACTCATGTCATTTGAAAGTCGCTTGAATCAATGATCCCCAAAATAAGCCTCAGGCATTCCTCTGACACCCCTGGTGTAGGGCTGGCTTTGGTTTGATCTCTTGTTGGGGTCTAGTTCAGCACTGGATTAGGCACACACAGGGGCACAGCCTGTTAATTCTGCCTGTATCAGAGTCCAGAATCCCTGTGGCTGTTAAACCAGCACATGTGTGTGTATGTCTGTGTGTGGAAGGAGTAGATGGGAGAGGGGCAGGACTCTGCCTGAAACATGAGCCCTGCTCTGCTCTGCTCTGCCCTGCCCGAGGGGATTGCACTTGGGTGTTTGTTGCCTTCTGACCCACTCCTGCCATGTGTGTAGCTGTTCCTGTGTTTAATAACACACCTCACCATGGTGGCATGAGGCCAGGAGGGACCTTCCCTACCTGAGTTCCTTGCCAGAGTTTGTCCTCACTGTCACAACGTGGTGTGGATACAGTATGGAATGTGGCTGAGCAATGCCTCCTGGCCCCATGGCATTGACAGTGGTGCTGGGAAGGAGCAGAGCACACCTGGTTTATTTTCAGTGGCACATGTCCATGGCACTGACCCTGCGAGCTGGAGTCACCAGGACTCCCTGTGGGCAGAGCCAGGGACATCTGTCTCCTCCAGTGGTGGCTCTGAGAACCTGGTTACTTGTCCCTGGGGAAGAACCCTGATGTTTTCCTTGTTCCCTTGAGTGGTTGTGTTGGTGAGAAGCAGAGCCTTGTCCTCAAGCACTGTGAGTCAGTGTCACCCCCTTGTAGCTGTGGCACCAGGGCAGTGTGGAGATTTTGTTCTCTTGCTGCATTTTTAGGTGTTTATCTCATTTCCATTGGATAAAACCATGGCATTAGTTTTTTTCCTCCCTCAAGGCTTGGCTGTGGGGGCTGTGACAGCCCATCTTGATCCCTGGTCAGTCAGAGCTGTGCTTCCTTGGGGGCTGTGGGGCACAGGTCAGGGAGCAAGACTGGCAGGGAAACTGGGAAGATTTTCAAGTGGAGCAATGGCAAATCAACACTTGCTGGAGTTCCAGCCCTAAGGTCCAGCTGTGGGCTGGAAGTGTTTCTAACCATGTGCTGTTCTTGCTGATAGATCCACCACAGTCAACCCCAAAGTGCTGGACCGAGACCTCCTCGTCAGGGCTGATGCTGCAGCTGTTTTGCAGCTGGCCTGGGGGGTACCCCCACCCCACCCTGCACTGGAGTGAGGAGGGGCACAATCTGGAGAACTCCAGCTGGATCATCAGCTCCACAAGCTCCTCAGATACCCACGTGGAGACCCTCAACAGCTCCCACCTCTCCCACCGCAAAGTCTTCAAGTGTGTGGGCAGCCACGTGGTCAAGCCGGAGCAGCCTGTGTGCACTGTGGAGATAAGTGAGTTGATTTGCTGCCTCATTAACTGCTCATGTGGCTGCTAAAGCTGGGGCAGATGGGTAACCCAGTCATTCCCTGCCCTCTGGAGCACTAAGGTGGTCAGGGAAGCCAGGAGGCAGCATGGCAGGGCTTGGCTTGTGCTGAGGTGACAGCACAAGGGATATCCTGCAGTTGAGATCCATCACAACATAGTTGCAGATGAGCTGTTGTTTTGGGTCCACCTTCAGGGGCCAACAAATCTCACCACAGCAAGGTTTTCACCTATGAAAAGCTTTCAGACACACGAGTGAAAGGGAGAAGTGGTTTGAGTGCTGCGGTCAGCTTGAGATGAAGTTTGGTAGGGCTGGGTTTACAGGAGAAGGGTCATGTATGCCCCCAGACCCCTTCAGGCACCTCAGGGACCTGAATAAAGTGGATTTTGAAAACTTGGGCTGTATTTATGCTCCAAGGGTTGTCAGGGCTTCACAAGAGCTCTGCTGATCCCAAGGAAACTTCCTGGACTGCCTTTCTCCTCTTTGCCATCTTCCCTCTGGCTACCCTCCCCCCATTTTTCCTGGGGGACATAAAGACAGTGTCAGAAGGGACTGAGCACTGTGGAAGCTGCTCAGGTTGCTCCTTAGGAGGCTGTTGAGGGTTGTGAGTGAGCTGCATGCTGAACCCACAGCACTCAGCTCTCAGACTCCTGCCTGACTCCCTTCTGTTACTGATTATTAATCAGTCAGATGGCTGATTGCTTGTTATGCTAATTGCCTCCGTTCCCTCCTTGACATTTTGTTTTCTTTTTCCCCTCCGGCTGTTCAGAAATCCCTTCACTGGAAACTGATCCCCCCAAGACCTGCTTCGTGGGTGACAATGTGACCCTGACATGCCGTGTGACCGAGAGCACCCCGGCAGCACGGCTCACCTGGCTGAGGGACATCACCCGGCCAGAGGTGGAGATCCAGCCTGGAGGGAGATTCCTCATCACCCAGGAGGGCAATGTGTCCCAACTCACCATCCAGAACTGCTCCCAGGGCACTGATGGGGGCTGCTACGTCTGCAGGGCACACAACCCTGTGGGGCTGAGGGAGCTCTTCGTCTGCCTGACGGTGAAGCGTGAGTGGGGCTGCTGTGGCAGGAACTGAGGAGGGGCTGGGGACACAGCACATTTGCCATTAAGAACCTGCCCTTTGGCTTGCACTGAGAATTGCTCACCCATCCATGTCCCAGTGACAAGCTGTCCTCCTGTGTCCTTTCTCTGCAGGGCCGGTGACCATCGCTGAGATCGTGGGTGCTGTGGTGGTCCTGACCCTCCTGACTGGTCACATTGTCACTGGGATGGTCTTGTACTACAATCCCCTTCTGTGCCTGAGAGGTAGGGACGGGTTCCTCCTTCCTGTGGGGGTCTGGTTTATCCCTGACCTGCTTGTCCCTCCAGGTGTGCTGGAGTCAGTCAGGCTTGTACGTGTGGGCAGGTCACCTTCAGGTCTGTGCCACACAGAGGTACAGACGTGAAGACAGGATTGGCAAAGCTTGTCCAGTCCAGTAAAACCAGTAGCACTGCCCAAGAGGACCAGTTTCTAATGCTGTCTTTCCCTTCTGTCCCATTCAGGTGCTGCATCCAGGTGAGTGTTGACATTCCTCAGCCTCGTCCTGCATGGCCTCAGTAGTCTGCCTTCCTGTAGGGCAGGGAACAGGCTCTCTTCAGCCTTTCAGCCCACCTGTGCTTGCTCTGCTGTTCCCAGGAATTCAGACTCAGGTGATGTCGTAATGCTGGTGGACTTAGAAGATGAGGAGGAGGGGGAGGGGGACAAGGAGGCCACAAGCAGCAATCATGGGGCAGTGGCACTGGTCAATGGGAACAGCACCCAGGCTGCTTCTCTGAACTACCTCATGGAAGGTGAGCCCTGGTACCTGCCTGCTGGCTGAGCTCTGGGGCAGAGCCACCTGCTCCCTGCTGAGCTGTGGGTCTTCCCAAAACATGTCAGAGAGGGAGGAATTCCTGTTGGCTGTAGCTGAGATGCTGCTGCTCTGTGCCCTGTGTAGGTGACGATGAGCTCCAGGGCAGGGTGTCTCCGCAGGAAGCAAGGGGAGAAGAGACAGACAGCTCTTAGCTTCCATCCCTCCTTGAGGAAGCACGTAGAGCTCCAGCTGGAATCCAGCATCAAGCACATCCTGGGTTGGGTGTGGCTGAGCTCAGGCCGTTGGTGCCCTGCAGTGGGACAGTTCAGCCAGAGCCTTCACACCTCTTGTTCCAGTTGCCCCTTCCACAGTTTGACTCCATCCTTCCCCAACCATGTTTTTCCATTGCTTCTCTCTTCTCCATGTTCCTCTTTGTTCCAAGTGTCCTTAAAACAAGGTGATACCCAGTGCAGGCAGAGCATGGGACCGGTAACCCACTCACCTTGATGCCTGTTGGACTTGAATTCCAGTGTGGGATTCTGACTCAGTCCCCATGAGCAGTGCTGGCGCTGTGGGAGCAGACTGGAAACAGTCACTACAGGACCACAGTGGTCCCAGCCTAAGGGAAAAACAATGGGGGTGTGGGCAGGATATGGGTGATGCTGACTCTGGGGAAGTTGAATTGTTTTTGTTATAAATATTTTTACCAGTTCCTTCTGAAATGTTTCTCTGTGTCCAAGTCAGGACTTTCCTTGCGTTGTGGGGTGGAATGGTGGAGCAGAGGGCTCTGCAAGAGGGGACTGGGGTGAACTAAAGTGAGGAATAAAATGAGAGAGTGTAGAGTAGTGGAAGAGGGAGTGCACACTGGGAGTCTGTGCAGAGTGTAATGGGAGGTGTGAGCAAACACGTGGGGGGATGAAGGGGATCTGATAGCATATGGAGTGGAAGGGATGCTCTCCTGGGGTACGTGGAGAGGGACAGGGTGTGCACTGTGGGTGAAGTCAGAGGGTCTGAGCCATCTCTGGGATGTAAGACAGTGTGAGCTGGAGGGGAGCTGAGGGGGTACAGGGGCTGGGGACACCTGAGCACTTGGTGTGATGGTGGTTGGGACCCAGGTCTGAAGAGACCTCCACTCTGTGGAGCCTGAACAGAGGGTTCTGAAGGGCTGGAGCAGGGTCCAAGGGCAGCAGGTGTGGTTAGAGGGCTGGGAGTGGGACCCTTCTGCAGCTGTCCCCAAGGAGCCCTGGTGCATTCCCTGTGTCCAGCACCGCGTCCTCACAGCAACACTGAGCCGTGCCATGAAAATCCCAGGGAGCTGCAGGAGCCTCTGCTGCCCCTGGCAACAGTGTTGTGCTGCCACCATCTCGCTGCCCTGGTCCCAGCTCCTCTGCAGGCCCCTTGGCGAGGAGAAGGCACCGGCTGTGATGGCCTCGGACCTGGAGGAGCATTTGCTTGCGGCTCTCCGGGGGACCTCTCTGTGCTCCCCTGGGATGGACAGCTGCACCCATAGCAAGTGCTGCTGGCTGGAGAAAAGCAAGGGCTTGGCAATGGGGCCAGTGTAGTCTGTGTCCCTGCGGGTCTGTCTTGTTTTCCCATCCCTGGGTGGGTGCTGTGTCCCCAGCGGGAGTACCCAGAGAGGAGAGGGCATCCCAGCTGTGGGCTGGGAGCAAGGAGAGGGATTCCCTGTGGTCTAACCAGAAAGCTGAGGTTGTGCTGTGATTTGTCCTTCCCTGGAGGGCAGTGCTGGTGCTGCAGGTCTCCGAGTCGGGGGAGGCTGAAGTGGGAGGGATGGGCAGGAACGAGGGCGGGGGAGAACCTGAATGCAGGCATGGATAACCCTGTGTGGCTCCTGCGCACCGGGGAGTGGGCCAGACTTCACGTGCTAAACCAGCGGCGCCAGCGGCGGTTCATGG